TTCAGTAACTATAAATTCTTAGAAGCAAACATATTTTATTTATTGTCTTAGTTAGCTTGACACTTTTATAAAAGAAAAAAACAAATAAAACTCAAGTGAGTTTTCAGGCTAGACTTACTCATTTTCTCATCCTTCCTAGCCTTTTCTCCCTTTCTTCACTCAATACGACTCCTTCCCAAAGGCTGATAGAGTCTCTTTATCAGGTTGAAATAATACCTATCCTCTGGTTGTATTAGCCATTAAAAAAACTGAAGATATCTTGGCTGTACTGAACACCAACTTGTCATTCTTCTACCCCAAAAGCTTCCTGTGCTATCTCAACACCTCCATAGATAAGGTGAAGCTCCCTGGACAGATTCTCACAGCTTCATAAACATAGCATTGCCTTTGAAAATTAATCTGTCTACTATTGCTTTCCCAGATGAAATCCAATTCAATTATTCTTGTCTATGCATTGTCACCAGAACACGCCATTTCCTTTGGGAACACTGTCACTGATAACCAATTAACTAACCAATAAATTTGCCACTGTGTAACATTAACTTCAAGGTACTAATTTCTCAACTGTGACATCATTTGTCCATGAGTTGCCTCCTAATATTTAGTATATTGTTTTCCCTTTTATATACTGTCAGAAAATAGGCACACAACTCATTTACTGACTTACCCATTTATACACCAGAACACTCCCATGCCATTAAATACACATACTTGACCTACATAAATAAATATGATCACATCTCAAAAACATACTGTTGAAAGTGAAAGGTAATGTCACCATTTTGACAAAAAATGCCAACAGTCAAAGCTGCACTATGTAATCTCTGGTGGTATGCTTACACGCCCAGATGTCATAAAAATAGAAACACAGGAATGAGGGTAATAAAACACAGAACTGCCAATACACAAACTATGCATGCAAACACGAAATTCTCCTCTTCAACCCCTTCCTGTGAGCAAGTTCCCTGTGGTTTTGAATATCACCCCTCAACTTCTTCCTTTCTTTAAGTTTGATTTTATATATTTATTTTCCTATACCACTGTTCACTTGGGGCAATATTTGATTTCTCCCCTCAGGTATAGTTACCTTAGTTCTCCCACCACCATAGCGCATGTGCCCATCCCCACAATCCCTTGTGCTCTTCCCTCTCCTGTCTTTTTTTTCAAAAGATTTTTTATTTATACAAGAGCTGGGGTACAGGCCAGAGGCATGGGAGGGTGAGAGGATTCACCAGAGACAGAGCAGGAAGCAGAACAGGCGGACAGACAGAAAGCACTGCTGAGGGGAGCAGCGGGTGAGACAGGAGAGGTCTGCTGCACCATGTGGGTATCTCCCTGGCTGGCTGGGGATCGAACCTGCGCTGCAGAGGCTGTGGACAGCTTCACAGCGCTGCACTCAACCCGCTGCACCACCGGGGAGGCCCTTCCCTCCCCTGTGTTGTCCCCTCTCCCTCTCTCTCCTCTGCTGTGTGCCTCAGATATGCGGTCAGCTGGCAAATTCTGTGTTTTTCCCTGACTCTCCCTCTTTGTTTCACCACATATGCAGGTCCTTCTATTTCAACTGTCTTTCTGCCTCTTTCCTTTCCATCGCTGTCTACTGCCTCAGTCCCCACTCTTACTGTTTCCTTACATACTTCAGAAGCTTCCCTTCCAATAATTCCACATCTTACTTTGCTCCCTAACCCACCTAGTATATTGCCACCAGGTGCATGTTCCATAAGAATATGTGGACATCAAACTCCCACAGGTATCTTTTAGTGGTTCTTGAGAGACTTTAAGAAAAAGGTCACCCCCAGTCCGGCATATGCAATTCTCTTTACCAGTTTGGACTTATTCAGGTCTGCTCCACTTCACACATGCTGCAGTCACACATCGAGCATGCTTTTTTTACACACGGATTTCAGTTATGTTTACATGCCTGATACATTTATGGGGTTACCTCTCGAACACTGACCTATCTATCCTTCTATCTCTATAACCCAGCACAGCATTAGTAGTAGCATAGTAGCAGGCACACAGTAACCGCTTGTTGAATGACTGCCTGAAACACAGCATATTGTTTAATACACTCATTATATTACAAATATCTGGGTTTACCTGTACTCTTAAACATGCATTCCTTTTTTTTTTAAATCCCATTTCCTAATACAGTGTTATCCACATAGAGGACTCAACACAAATATCTCATCAATAAACACTACATAGATGTGACCAAGTATGCAAAAAGATAGTATGGTTTAATTATTTTTAAGTATCACTAGCTACATATTTTGGAGGCTATTAACCTACCTGAAACATCTCCCCATTCAGTGTAACATTTAAAGACCCTATAAATCCATACAAGGACAGAGTAAATCCAGTAGTCGCTAAATCCAGTAATCGCAAATGTGGCGGTGATTTTCAGGTAAGATGAAGGCAGCATAATGCCCTCTGTCTATACGCTGAGAAATGAGTGAGGCAGAAAAGAAAGTTTTTTTTTTTTTTATTTTTCAAAGCCAGGGTCAGAACAGAAATAAGATATAAATCAGGAAATGAGAATGGTGTTCAGAGGGTCAGACTTTGTGAAACACAGGCTTGGTGAATAATGGGAGAGAAACAAGAGAGAAGGCTGATGTAGAAGAAGGAGGTGGGAAACGTGCTCCAATCTGTCAGCAACTGAAAGTCACAGATAGTTTCTGGTCAGATGAATGAAAGATGCCGTTTAAAGCCTACTGGTGACATTGTACAGATTTTGGAAGAGTTGATACAAGAAAACTAGTAATGACACCACTGCCTTAAGTCACCCACACATGCAGAGTGAAGTGGATGAGGATGGCAGTGACAGCAATGAAGCCCAACTTACGCTGTCCCCCCCAATAATCGACAGAGCTTGGGTGTGATCGAGGGGACATAATTAGTAACCACAGTGTGATGTGAAGGCATCAGAGAATATGAGCCAATGCTTTCAGTAAATCATTAATAAATCTGGTAATTAACATAGAGTGATATAATTGTAATATATTAACCTATTAGAGTTCCCTTAGTTATAAATAGAGCAATATAAGATGAATCTAGATAAAATATTCTATTTTTTAAATTTTATATATATTTTACATTAGTCTTCCTTTTTGCACAATGCATGCTTTCTCCTCTCAGGTGTAGTCCCCGTATAATTCCCACCACCCACTCACCCGTGCACCATCACCACAGTACCTTGTGCTCTTCCCTCCTGTTGTGATCCCTCTCCCTCCCCCTTCCCTTGCAGAATGTCTCTGATTAATAGTTGCCTGTTAATTTTGTTTTTTAATTTATTATAATTTTTTCCTGATCCCTTATTTGGTTCCCTTACATTCCTCCTATAAGTGAAACCATCCGATATTTTTCTTTTTCTTTGTGGTTTATTTCACTGAGCATAATCCCTTCCAGCTCCATTCATGTTGCTGTAAATGGCATGAGTTTATCTTCTTGGTTGCTGAGTAATATTCCATTATATATATGGACCACATCTTCTAGATCCAGTCATCTATTTTTGGGCATTTGGGTTGTTTCCATATATTACCTATTATAAATAAGTGCTGCAATAAACATAGGCGTGCAGGGATCCTTTTGAACTAATGGATCTGCTGCCCAGAGACAAAGGCTGAGCGCAGAATGTGGGTCACTAAGGGAGATGATCTGTGCAGACTCTGGACATGGACTCCTGGGCAAGGTGCTGCCTCCTCTTGTGTCAGCATGGATATATCACAGGTGTCTGTAAGGTCTTTTCTTTTTCACTTGGGAGGGAACAGATCTCTATCACATAAATGAGACTATTCCCCAGTTTTTCCTTTGTGTCCTTGGAAAATTAAGGCCTCCTGTCTGCCATACTAAGTAAAGCAGCACAAAGAGATTCCAAGGAAAAGGTGCTATTGACATGTCACATTATCAAGTCCCCCAAAATGAGGGTTTTCTCTAAAATTTTTGAAATATATATCTTCTCTCATCAATTTATTTATACTTTTTGTTACCAACATTGGAATTATGTAGATTTTATCCACATGCCCATTCCATATGCACTGGCTATTCTAAAGAACAAAGAGCTACATCCTCACTTTGGGGCAGAAATCTCAGGTTTTAATTCAAAATGGTTCATCATAAACCAGTCACGGGTTCATCCCTGGCTGCTCTTTCTCTGTCCTATGTGATCAAATGAAGCATATGCTGCCACTTACCAATCTAAAAAATTAGGAAATATGAATAACAAATACTGCTTTGAATGTTAATTGGAAGAAAATTAAGAGAAAATTCTTTTATGCACTTAATGAATATTTAAGTATTCAATCCTTGTTGACATAGAAATATGAATAGCTTAACACAAGGAAATAGGTTGAAAAAAAGCAAGTAAAGTGCTGATAGATGTAAAGCACTTTATATATCTATTTTTCTATCAAGGCTAAACTGTTTTTAGCTTTACCATCCTTTGTGAGTTTGTGAACCAGACTTCATGAATGTTACATCTGCTAGCTAAATGATGATCTGAATATTGGTAGGATGTGTGTAAATCCACAGAAATATATATTTTTAAAGATTTCTTTATTTATGCATAGAAGAACTGGGGTGTAGGCTCGTGATGTTAGGGGTGAGAAGATTCACCAGAGAGAGAGAGTGGGGAGCAGAACAGGTGGATCTACTGAAATACACTGCTGAGGGAAGCAGCGGGCAAGACAGGATAGGTCTGCTGTGCCATGTGGGTCACATCCCTGGCCAGGGATCAAACTCGGGCCACGGTGGCATAGTGCTGAGACTTAACCCCTAGGCCATCAGGGAGGCCCCAGAAACACTTCTTTTATAGTGGGAGCTACATTGTCAATAAAATGGGCTTCCTTGTTTCAGCTGAATTTTATTTGCACACTATTAAAATTGTCTTATATTCAATGCAAAGTTTACTAGAGCAAAAATTCTTTTAATGAAAGTAATTTAATTGGAAGTAATTTCATATTAGAATAGGATGCAGGACAAAACCAGATTTAATTCATACTCACTGTGGCAGTGTTGCTGGCAGGGAACGTCTAATAATTGAATGGACTTGTCTGTAAACATCCAGTTTAGACATGCACCGGCAGGAGGTGTGATTGGCAAAACTGATGGTTACTGGTTTGGGGCCTTGAGAGAGAGGCACTGTAATTTCAAACAACTACAAAGAAGGGACAAAAAAAGGGAAAAAATTACATAGATGCTATAGTATAAAGCATTTTTATGGTAAGTCTTGGAATCCAAAAAGAGTGAGATTAACTCTTGATGATTAGGTACTGTTGCATAACATATCCAGGGCACAAAGTTCTTAATGATTACGATGTAAAATCTGTTCTTGCTTCTAATCAGCATTGTATCAGAATAATAAATAGTCCCCGTGCTTATGTCACTATTAAAAGTATAACTGAATTCTGATGGTCAAGGAATGATTACAGAGCAGAGATGTGACAGACACTACGTTTAAGGAAAAGAATTGTTTCAGAGTCCTAAATTATTTGATATCAAAGTTCGTAATATTCCAGGATTTTAAAAATTGCATAGATATAAATATCTTTGTGATGTTTGCGTGAGCTTTGGTCCACAACCTGGAAACATTTGGTGAAGACCTATTTTGTGAAAATTGAATATCTAGACATTATATAGATGTAAAACTGATTTTCATTCCAACTTAATTTTTTACTCACAGTAGTTTTACATTTATCTGAGATCTTTTATAAATTTAAATACAGGGACAATAAACACACCCATTATTTAATAGTTAACACTGTGTTTCTACTATCTTGATATGGCATTATGAAAATTATGAACTTTAAGGTAAGGCATTTTACAAGATTATGCATTAGAGTCTCAAATGTTAGTTCAAGTAAAATTCCTATTCTGAACGCCTTACTTATGGAGAATTTCAGTTCTCTTTCTTCTCCAAGAACAACTTTTAAATTGAACATGTTAATAAATTATTCATTAAAACTAAGTGGATTGTAATTCTTAATTTACTTAAAATCAGAATTACATCAGTTATAACAGGGAAAGTGAAATCCTGGTCATTCACTGTTTGATAAGATCAGTTTGTAGTAGTTAAACTGCGGTTGAGCCAAGTGTTATTTGGAAGCGCCTGGAATCTAAGCTGTGCTAACAAAGATGACATGCTGCAGAGCCTTGTCATTCAGCCCCTTGCTGTAATTTCATGCCTACACTTGACGATCACTGAATGTACTTAGGAAATAGAATGAGTTGCCAATTTTGTCCACACCTTTCGGAGAGATTTATTTAAATGGAAGAGTTAAAGAATTAAAATTGATTAGAAAGTTGTGATTGAAATCTTGGATATTTTCAGTTGGGCATGAATTCGTGGGTGTGATTAGTTGGTGAGAACATTCTGAATGAAAAGAGAAAATGTCTCATAACAGAAAGCTGGGGGATAGGCATATTTAGAGGTGAAAAAAATGCCAATGTCCTAGTAAATAGGGAAGAGGTATCAGGTGAAGATGGAGAAACAAGAGGGGGTGTTGCAAAGTCAAGGGAAGGCAGTGGAGAACATCCCAGAGGCACAGGGCCAAATAGCTCAGCGATTTCAAACTTGAGAAGGATTGAGAGGATCCAACTGGGAACCCGAAGTAGCTCTAAGGGCTGGGGCAGGGTGGGGGCTGCGGACGAGGGGGCGGTGCAGGTGAGGAGACCAGAAAGCCCCACGTGCCAGGAAGAAAAGGTTCACAGGGTCAGGCCACAAAGAACACTTTTGCTTACAGAGCACATGTCATCATTGCAGGATTCGGCATTGTCTTAAGAGACACAGCAGACGAGAGCCTGGCACTCAGGACACAGCATTACTTGTTATAACAGCAATAAGGGAAGGGTTCAAGATGGCTCCAGCCCTGCACCTCAGCGCACCTTTCCTGGTCTCCATGATGGCCACCTGCACCAGACTCCACCTGGCAGCTTTCCAAAGAGAAAGGAGCTCCCAAGGAGCAGTGTCAAAGTTCAGGGACGGACTGCAGCCATTCTGGGGTGAATGACGTCCACAGCCAGGGCGTCCCAAGTGACGTACGTGTGTTCAGGAACTGGGGCTTGAAAGAAAGTACTAGTGAAATGGAGGGCAGTTAAAAGCATGTCAGGAAAGCATATTTCTGAAAAGACAAGCCTGGTTCTGTGCTTTCAAAAGGCGGGCGAAATTTGTGTTGGTAATACACTGACTAAAAGCATAAAGACACAAGAAGCACACACACCCCCCCAAAAAAAAACTGCTTAGAGAAATGTTTTAGCTTGTAAGTTGAAGGCTTTGATAAGTGCTAAAACTTGTACAGTTTGACAGACAAATGTAATTTAATTAAAGGAAAGGAAAATTCAAATTATCGATGCTTCCTATCTTTAGTTTGTGTCCAAGGTGTAGGCAATTACTGAGCTAAATTCAGTCATTCAGTAATTACATCATGAGGAATAAACTGAAAATTAAAATAAAACCCTTTTTCTTGCCTTGAAACACATCCTTCATCTCCAAATTTGACCTGAGATTTTCAAGCAGCTTCTTAACGTTTTTACTTGACTGTGTCAGTGAGGGAAAAGGTATTAGAGTCCAGAGAAAGGTGCCTTTGACCAATTTTAAAAGCAGAAGGGTTCTTGGTAATTGAGGTTTATACATCTTCCAATTTCAGGAAAAGGGGCATCATCTACCGAGTTATGTGCAGAAGGGCATGGCTGAACCTTAGTTCTTATCACCCATGAAAGGAGTGCCATTCATTCTCCAATTTTTCTGCACTGGCTTTAAATATACTTTTAAATATACTTTCTTCATTTAAATGACTAAAGGAGATTTTTCTACTACTGTTTTAAGTTTAGTGAATTCTGTTGTCTTGTTTATAGACTAATTCATGAATGTCAGGTTTAACCCCTATGTCTACTGGCCCTTTTTTCCTAATCAGTGTATGTACCTAGAAAATGTAAACCTCTTGAACTAAAAAAAAAAAAAAAAATCAGAATTACACTATCAAGTCACATGTCCCCCTCCCCAAAGAAACACGTACACTTTTCAAATACCTGGCAACTTCCCCTTCCCTGCTAGAAACACAAGAATAAGCAAGAGTTTAGTCTTATGAAACAGACACTGCATTTTGTGATGACTTGGGAAATTTGTTTACCTTTCTGCACATCCATTTGTTTATCTATAAAATAGGGATTATAAGACTGGGGATTGTCAGGGGTCTGGTTCTCATCTCCCTGCTACCTGTACCCTCGTCATCACCCCAGACATTTGTTAAAATATTATGATTTTTTAATTTCTCTTAAAAATCTTTCTCTGTTTAGTTTTCAATAACTATTAATTGAGAACCTATAAAATGCCATGTGCCAAGCCCTTTTCCAGATTTTTAGGTTAACAGTTATCAAGGATTCTTGCCCTTATATGAAACTAGTAGTTAAATAAAACTAACAGTGAGAGTGAATTAGAAAAACATATATAGAGTTAAATATCTTCCTATGTGAACATAGATACTATTCTAGAATATTTACAATATCAAATAATTTACCTTAAATGCTCTTGGTGAGCAAGAATCTGCAGTTTAACTTAATTATGAAATCTGTGCTTGCCATTATATAAAGATTTGCATGAGCGCAGTAGCCAGAATTCTCTATCAAGAGTTAAGGTATATCCAGACACATCTGTGTTTGAAATGATAAATATATTCTTTATATTTTAACAAAATAAAAGTCATAATACTATTATCATACTATTATGTGCTTTAATGTGTGTAGAATAGTATTTCATATTTTAGAGTTAAGCTTATACAGTGCAAATTTTATCTATTATGTTGAGCATTAGTAATAATTTCAAATATATATGTGTTCTTAGCCAATACCAATTGATGATAATTATCATGTGACATTTTGAATATGATTTTCCAAAAATTATTTTGTTAAAACATGAACTGCAAATAATATTAGCTTGTATTATATTTAGCATCTAAATATTAGTAATATTCATTACGGGGATTGAAGCTATATTATCAGTATAGGCCTATTAAAAGATTTGCTCATTTGGAGAAGATCAAAAGCATTTACATAAAGAGCGCATAGTCAAGACTGGACATCTTTACAAAATCTGATTGTGTATTCTGCAAAACTGTAGTAAACAGGAGGGAATGGCAAGAATTCCGACTAACAGGTTCCCAGTTGTTATGTACTGGAATTCTTTAACAAGAATATGTAATAGTCAATTCTCACCCACAAGAATGGACTTCACATTTTGAAACCCACGTTTTGAAACAATAGGTTGTTGATACCAACATAGCAACAGTGGTGAAGCAATAAAACCAAGTCATTCTTATCTTGCAGGCTATTCAAGAAAAAAGGTGTAGAACTTCCTACTGAGAAGATCCTGGGATGTAGTTTCCCACTCAGTTCAAGAGAAATGTTTCTGTGGACACAATTATGATGCAAAGATTCCTTCCTTTACATCTTTATGCCCCAATAGACAACCAGTTTCTTTTCGGAGGATGATATCTCACCACCATATTTAATTTAATGTTCTAATATGATTTATAATTGTAAAATAAGAGAAAAATCACATTAAATTGAAGGACTAATCCCTAAAAATAGGAAAAAGTGAAAAATGAGGGTTCACTGTTAGCATTTCAAGTGAGAAGACCAACCACATGACCAGCCATCAAGACTCCTGGATCTTTAAATTGGCTCTGGGAAGACCAGGGAATAGCAGGTCCTATCAAATTTACACCTAATCATAACATATTATTATAGACAAAGTGTATACTTGCCACATAAAATGTAACAGTGCTGCAATTATAATGAAGATTTAAACTCAGAAGTCATAGAAATACTGAATATAATATGCAGTGAGATTCTAGATTAATTTTTTTTTCTTAAGGCAATTGTTATTTTTAAGGAAATTTATAATAACTAGTATTGGCACAGAGTTCTTTTCTTACATCTGGATGAAACCTGATTGTGCTCGCCCAATATTAATTAACTAAAGATTCAGAAAAATTCACATTCCATTTGTTGAACACACATGCATGTAATAAATTAATCTTTCAGAATGCCCCAGTGTTCTCTTTAATTAATGAAGAGTTATCTCTGCTGTGCAAAATAATACCTCTCATTTGCATTGGAAAGTGGCACAATTTTCTGTGGCTTAAATATATTTTGCTATAA